ATCTGTGCAGCTAACAACTTTTCCAGTTATTTTGACCAGCGGTGCAATTGCTGGTTAATTTGTTGGTCACCTTGACGTTTCCTTTTGTAAACATGGAATTTTCTTGAATTTTTTAACTTGAAAGTTAGTACTTTTTAAAATTTCTTTGCAGCACTGTATGAGAATAAATTCCCAGTACCGAAGCCAATCGATGTGTGCCGTCATTTGGTTGTTATGGAATTCATTGAGGGCGATACGCTTTGTCATGTACAAGAAGTTGAAGATGTAAGGACTTTTTTTTTCATTTCGCGTCAAGAATCAGACTCATTCGGAAACCAGGAAGGTGTTGGAGGCGAAAGAATTGTGAAGTCTACTTTTCAAGTAAATGCAACAGCAGAAATGGACCGGTTACGGGACAAACTCTGAACATATTGCTTCTTGGTCGGGCCTCCATGGCCCGTTCTTCCTTTTCTGTTTATTTATGAAGTGTAATGACGAGATTATTTCATATCTGATTGTGTCAGCCTCCGTTTCCGTCTTTTGCACTGAAAGAATCACAGAATCGTGAAAATTTCAAATGTGCAGGACTTGTGAAAGTAGTACTTACAGTCACATAAAGTTCTCGCAGTTGTAATGATGATGATGGATAGATCTTGATGTATTGTAGGCAGAGGAACTTTATGAGAGCCTAATGACGATTATTGTACGCTTGGCTCGTTATGGACTCATTCATGGTGATTTCAATGAATTCAACATCATGCTAAACACAGTATGTTTCAGCGATGCTTAGCATTTTTAGTTTTTGTATGCTTTTTTACTTGCATATTTATGCAAATGAGAAAACGCGTATTGGCAAAGGTTTGTGTGCATCTGTATGTATGCATGCGTGTGCATATGTCCATGAGGTTGCATTTTTGTCACCGGCTTTGAATTTGAAAGCAAGGAAAGCTAGGAAGCTGAAATTTTTGGAGCCTGTGTTTAACTCGTGTGCGGCCCTCTCATTTTGGTGTTACTTTTCACCTACTCTTTAGTCTGACGTGTGATTACTTGAAAAGAAATACAAATTTTTTACCGAGCAAGCGATTCCGGCAGCGTGAGAAATTAAAATTTACTGTGTCCTTGTATGAGTTTAGGTTTACTGTGTCCTTGTATGAGCTAAAGATTCCAAATTCAGCTTAGATGCATGACTAGGCCACGCGTGCGGGCACATCAAAGTTGGGACTTTGTAGTCGCTGACAAAATGCCTTGTGAAGTAGCACTCTTCTGGAATTTTTCAAATTTGTAGAAGAGCCACTGGCCAGATTCCGATTATTTCGAAATACTGTGCACGCTGCGACTAAAATTTCAGAAAGGGAAGCCCGTGTTGATTGATATGCCGCAGATGGTGAGCATGGATCATCCGAATGCTCAGTTTTACTTCGAACGAGACGTCAATTGCATTCGAACTTTTTTCAGAAAGCGGTACGCATCCCTTTGTGATCATCTTATTTAGGAAAAAAAGCCGACCCTTGCTGTGCTTTGATCATTACAGTATGTACATTAGTTTACAAGAAGAGTAAGTCAATTTTAGTTAGTGAAGTTATCAGTGGGGGCATTCGAGACGAGATGGCGGAGCTCAACACAGACACACACACACAGATACACACCAGGGATAGTACTTTTGTCAGAGAAACCTTTGTCTGCTAATTTCTTCAGGGGACGAAAGGAATGCTAGGATCGTTAACAGGATGAAGAAATTAAAAAAATTGGCCAACGCACGGGCTGCCCGTGCGAAGATGCGTTTTTTGCAGAGTTCCCCG